TACCATACTAGTTCTGACAGCCCCACAGAAGTGCCCATAATCTGTCCCAACCAAAGAGACAGATTTGCAGTATAGAGAACAGGACTGTAACAAGAGTACAAGAGGGCTTCCTCATTCACACAGACAAAACCTATGACAGTTAACAAGCTGTCTAAAGTAGAGAAGAGCTAAAAGATGGAAAGCAGTAGACCTTAAGAATACCTGTAATTAAGGAAGAGAAGAGGACAGCAGATAGAGGTTGGAGGGATATAGAACTATGAGTGATTGTTCAGTTTAGAATTCCTTCACCTTTAGGATGTTTGGTTCAAAAGAGTTCACAGAAGTATCCCCCACTCCCCCCAAAAAGGCCATTTACTGGCAGCTCTAGGTTAAAAACCTAGTCTTTCTGATTGTTTTGTGGGCTTGACTTATATTCTCTCCCTGTGTCTTTGGATGTGGCAGAGCCTCCAGGATTTCGTAGCTTCTCCTTTTTGTGCCTCTAATTTTCTTCACTTTTCCCCTTCTTTCTTTTCTTTAGTTACTGATTCCCCCTGAATTCAGGGGGTAGTTACCAAATGACTGGTAACTACCTAGGGGAAAAATGACTGCACTCTCTCCGCCCCGCCCCCCCACCCAACATCCCCCCATTCTGTGTGTGTGTGTGTACCCTTACGCAGGATAAGACACAAAACCACCATGGCTTCTGAACTAAGCACACACATACACAGAAAGATGGTGATTGGGTAAAAGAGAGTAACAAATGGGAGCAGATGGGTAGCATGGACCATGAGTAAAATGACCACAGACCCTGATATTCAGTTTATATTAAAGATTATCTTAAAAGTAGCTTTGTCAAAAATATCTTATGTTAAAATCTTTAGTTATCCTTCTTTTTAATTTTATTTTTGTAGATATTGACCCCTTAGTCATTGAGATCTTTTAATTTGAAAGTGCTTGTATCCTCAGGTTGAATGCCTTTCATTCCAGCTTATTTGTCTAGTTGTCTATTTTGTATTTCTGTTAATCAGACAAAGACAGTTAATGTTTTCTCTCTCTGTATCTTGGTACCTAACACACTGTTTCATGTTCACTATTGTTCAATGACCGGCTGAATTTTAAAGGAGCCTTTCTATTTTAGCAGATTTTTATCTTCAGGAGGGTGGTAAATTTGACTTTCTTTTAAGGTTACTGAGAATAACTACCACATCCTGCATTCATTTTTATTCCTAGAACGATAAGTCATCAGCCATGGCAACTGGGATTCTCTTGCTTTTCTAGGTGTAGATTGTGATTAAAATTGACCTGACTTGAAATAAAAACAGCATAGGATTTTCCTGCTCCTCAATAAAAATCAAAACAGCTACTAAAGCTGATAATGAGGAAACAGCATCTCTTTGAACCTGATCATTAGGGCAGTGGTTTTCCAACTGGCTTCCAAGGGAAGACCGTTACTTGATGAGCTGGCCTAAGTCTTAAGGAAAAAAAGATAATTTTTCTTCCTATTCATTTTTTATAAATACTGGCATCAGCTTGTTTTTTCTTGTTGAATTGGGTATTATTTAAATATTTAGGTAACAAGTTGAGTAAGTCAGTATTGGTGGGGCTTTGCACCAGAAAACATTTTTTAAACTAATGCATGAAAACATTAATTCCCTTGCTAGTGGCTGCAGGGAGTGACAAATGGGAACTGTTTAGAGGTTTCCTTTTGGGTTAATGAAAATGTTTTGAAACTAGATAGAGGGTAATTAATGGTTGTATAAGATTGTGAATGCACTCAATGCCACTAAATTATATACTTCAAAAATGGTTAATTTTATGTGAATTTTATTTTAATTAAAAAAAAAGACTGGGCACTGGCTAGGTGGCTCGCTTAGTTGGAGCATCATCCCACACATCCAAAGGTTACAGGTTTGATCCCCCGTTGGGGCACGTATGGAATGCTTCTCTCTATATACATAGAGTCTGTGTCTATCTTTCTGTCTCTCTCTCTCTCTCCACATCCCCTCACCCTTTCTACTCTCTGAAATCAATAAGCATATTCTCTGGTAAGGATTTTTTAAAAAATGATTTACTAATTTTTTAAATTCTGTGCCATATCCATGAATTTCCAAGATGTATGCTTGTAGCTCAGAGGATAATGTCCTTTTGTGCTAGTATGGTCTTTAAATTATGACATTTATTAAAGTGAAAATGAACACTCACTGGTTAAATGCTGGGAGAACAGTCACATTATCTAACGTTATCATCAGGTGCTTAAATGTACAGGCTCACCACCACTCCTTGCTATCTGTTTATATCATTAGATCCACCCAATATCATCTTAAGATTATTTTTATGGCTCATGTAAAAAACTAGATTCTTTAAAGAAAACCAGTCTATATACAGGTAACTGTGAGAAACTTTCCACATGCAGGTAAAAAGCTTATTTCAAAATTTTAAAAAGTAGCAGTCTGAATTGGTCAAGATGGAGGCATAGGTAAAAATGTTTCACCTCCTTATGAAACTACAGAAAGAATTACAACTAGACCTCAAAACAAGTAACACCCAGAACTGTCAGAAATTAAGCTGTATAGAAGTCTGACAACCAAGGATTTAAACAAGCCACATTCATTCAGATGGGTAGGAGGGGCAGAGGAGCACAGAGACATGGTGTGGTGCAAAGAGGCAGCAGCAGTGGAACAGGCAGTCCCACATTCTCATGTAGTGGATAAAAATCAGGAGGGATAGTTTGAGAATGAGCAATCCCAGCCCCACTCCAGACCACACAGTCCAGGGTTCCAGCTCCAAGAAAATAAATCTCCATAACTTTTGGCTGTAAAAAGCAGTGGAGGTAGGGGCAGCATAAGAAACTGCTGGATTTTCAGGAGACTCCACTGAAAGGTCCCACACAAAATTAGAACATGCACAAACTCACCCACTCTGGGATTCAGCAACAGGGCAACATCTGGAAGGGCACCAGTCGCATAGAGCATGTGCTGGGCAAACCTCCAAAAACTGAATCACCTACCCTGACACAGAGCCAAAAAGTGGTGAAGCAGATTGCCTCACCCTGGCAATTACCTAAGGCTCCCCCCAACAGAATTTACAGGTGCCTTAACCACGATAGGCCAGCTACTAAGACAGGAGTCAAAGCAGCTCCACCTAATACATAGAAACAAACACAGGAAGGCTGCCAAATTGAGGAGACAAGGAAATGTGGCCCAAATATTAGAACAGAACAAACCTCCAGAAAAAGAATTAAACAAAATGAAAATAGCCAACCTATCAGATGTAGAGTTCAAAACATTGGTGATCAGGATTCTCAAAGAACTCATTGAGTATGGCAACAAAAATAAAAAAGATGCAGGAAGAAATTAAAGTTACACTAAGTGAAATAAAAGTCTGTGGGGAACTAACAGTGCAGGAGATGAAGCCATAATTCAAATCAACAGTTTGGACCATAAGAAATAAGCATTCAACCAGAACAGCAAGAAGAAAAAAAGAATTCAGAAAAACAAGGATAGTATAAGGTACCTCTGGAACAATCTCCAAACATACCAACATCCAAATTTTAGGAATGCCCTAAGGAAAAGAGGAAGAACAAGGAATTTAAAACTTATTTGAAAAAATAAATTTTGAAAAATGTACCTTATTTGGCGAAGGAAATAGACATACAAGTTCAGGAAGCACAGAGAATCCCAAACAAGTTGGACCCAGAGAGGAAGACACCAAGACACATCATAATTAAAATGCCAAAGGTAAAAATAGAGAATCTTAAAACTAGCAAGAGAAAAAAAGAGTTACTTACAAAAGAGTCTTCATAAGACTGTCAGCTGATTTGTCAAAGAAACTTTGCAGGCTAGAAGGGACTGCCAAGAAGTATTCAAAGTAATGAAAAGCAGGGACCTACCACCTAGATTACTCTATCCAGAAAAGCTATCATTTATCATTGAAAGTCAGATAAAATGCTTCTCAGACCAGATAAAGCTAAAGGAGTTCATCGTCACCAAGCCATAATTACATGAAATGTTAAAGGGACTTATTTAAGAAAAAGATCAAAACTATGAACATTAAAATAGCAACAAATTCACAACTGTCAACAACTAAATCTCAAAAAATAGTGAACAGCCAGAACGGGAACAGAATCATAGATGAGCAGATCATTTGGAGAGTTATTAACTGGGAAGGGGAAAGGGGAGAATGGAGGGGAAAGCACAGGGAGTAGTAGTAAGAGGCATAAATGGTAGGTACAAAATAGACAGGGGAGGTTAAGAATCGTATAGGAAGTGGAGGAGCCAAAGAACTTATATGTATGACCTGTGGACATTAAGGGTATGATTGCTGGAGGCAGTGGGGGTACCAGGCAGAGTTGAGCAAAGGGGGGAAATTGGGACAACTGTAATAGCATAATTAAGAAAATATTTTTTAAAGGTAACAGTATAACAATCTTACTGAGTTAAAAACAAGATAGAATTAAGGCATTTTTTAGTAAAAGCAGTGAAACTTTACAAAGATGACTGTTAAATCCTGTTTCCACTATCATTTGGATAGATCTTATCTGCCCTTGTCTTATAAACAACTGGGTAGATTGTTTGCTTACAGTTAGGAGTGCATCCACATGCAGACACACAACCTGTAGTCATATTCTTTTTTCTCTGACACCATCACCCTCAATTCCCACAGTCACATATTATCAGAGTAGTTTGGGCAAACTTATATTTAAGTTAATGAAGGATGGAAGTAAATCTTACTAATGCTTATTCTCAAGCTTTTGGGCAGTACCTTCTTCCAGATAGCTTCAGTTCTCAGGCATGTTCTCATTTTAGCAGAAAGTGTCTTGATTATGTGTCAGCAGCATTTCTGTGTGCGTTCTCTGTAGCTCATTGATTTAGCTCAAATGGAGGTTTATCGCATCTTTTGGGGTTTTTTTCCTATTAAATCAGTGTTTTATTGTAGTATCTTATGTGAATTGTTACCTGTAAGGTAATTTCACACATAAAGTTAAAAAGAGCTCTAACGTACATGTCTTACCTCTTCTTTAGAACTGTCAAGTAATCCACCTCTAGCTACAATCCTTATTCCTCCTCATGCTCGGATTCAAGCAGCTGCTTCAACGCCTACAAATGCCACAGCAGCCTCAGGTGAGAACACAAGTCTCTTCTGTAAAAATATTTTTAAAAAAAATAGACATGATTACCTCCATTTCATTTCTTCAGCTACGTGTGAACATTTCATACCTTCAAGTACGAGTAACAGCACAGCCGTATGAATGCATAAATGTAAATAAAATAGTGCTTTATTTTCACAAAGCACTAAAGAACCCCACAAATACTTTTTATGTAAGGTGTAAATATCTTACTGTAATTTAATTTTTTTGTTATTTTAAAAGTCATGCTTTTTATATAATTCGTTGATTAATATAAGGTCTGTCTGGAAATTGTCCAGCTGTTGTTTTTATAAGGAGAATGGTTTGTACAACATCGATGTAATCTGGCAGCCAAGGAGAGTGGACCGGAATTAGGATGTATGAACAATGATGACCTCACTGTACTAGTCAGTGGGGATGGTAGATGCCATCGAGTGAGCATGTGTACTGTGTGGCCATCACATTCAAAATGACTGAGCAAGTAGAGCAATGAATCAGCATCAAATTTAGCATTAAGCTTGAACAATCCTCCGCAGAAACTATTCAGATGATTCAGAAGGCCACAGCTGTGGGCATGGCGATTGGTGGCTTCGTTACAACACGCCTGCTCACATATCATGTCTTGTGCAGAGTTTTTTTGGCAAAACATCACATCACTCAGGTGACTCAGCCCTTCTACAGCCCAGATTTGCCCTGTAACTTCTGGCTTTTCCCAAAACTAAAATCACCTTTGAAAGGGAAGAGATTTCAGACAGTCAATGAGATTCAGGAAAATACAGCAAAGCAGCTGATGGCAGTTGGGAGAACTGTGTGAGGTCCCAAGGTGTCAACTTTAAAGGGGATTGAGGTGTCATTGCCGGGTATACAATGTTTCTTGTATCTTCTTCAATAAATGTCTCTATTTTTTATATTACATGGCTGGATACCTTGTGGACAGAACTCATATATATCAAATGAGATGCTGATAGCAGAAAGCAATCTGCACAAAAATAATGTTACTGAAGATAATTCACTTTGATCCCAATAACCTAAATGTAAATTACGTTAACATACTGAGAGGCAAATTTTTAGGAAGTATAAAATATAGATTGGTGAGTTTAATCATTCAACAGGGCTAAAACTGCAATGCAGGTATCTCTATCTAAGATTAAGATCACAATGTAACTAGATCTTGTCTATCGAGAAAAGAAGAAGAAAACCCTCATGGTCTGCCAGGGTAAGGGTACTGCTGGTCCTGTCGTCAGTCAGTGGTGGGGTCTGATTTAGTACAAGCCACTGTTACTGCAGATATCTGAAAACATTCAACCCTTGAGTGAATTGACGATCCTCCAAAGAATGCATGGGTGCTGTTTAAAATGAAGTTAGAAATATACTAGGTAGCACAGTCAGGCTCAGAATTTGGTGTTCCCTTTGTTCTTACAAAAAGCAGATGTCAGGAGATAACTTTATTTTTATTAAATTATCTATTATGTTAAACTAAATTGGATCATACCCATTTTTGCCTCAGAGCATTTATGCTGCAGGGGGTAAAAATCTTTCATTATTAGACAGTAAGGTCAAAATTCATCTCCTGTCCAGTCATAGTCTTTTGGAATGTTGCTCGTGAGGATTAAAAACATTTCGTGCTAGTCCATGTCCTACCTTTGTTCCAGAAGAAGTCTGGAAAGAAGGGTCTCTTCTCTACTTCTAGTTCTGTTACCATATGCTACCTTGAGAAAGTCATTTGAACTTTATTAGTTTTAGTATTGACCCACTAGTTTTCTCATTTCTGTGAAATGAGTGGCAGTGCTGTCCTAGAGTAATTTTGTAAAAACGAAAATGTACTGAAATGTGCTTTAAAAATTTTTAATGTAAAATACAGGGTTTTTAAAATATATATGTGGCCTATTTATTTAGAAGGAAGGTGGATTGCTTAGATGAGCTATTAATAAACTTACTAAATCACAAGATAGATTACGTTAATTGTTCAAAACTTGAAATAGACCCCAACCGTCAACTAACTGCATTTGCTTATTAAACTAGTTTCCACAGATTTGTTAGAATTGCTTTAGACTGTGAGTAAAAATAAGAATTATGATTGGTAAGTTTTAGGTCATTTTAAATTATTTTCTCAAGTGATATACTAAACTAGTTAAAGTAAACTAAGGTTTTTAGGCAATTTGTCTGCCTAGTAGGATGCTAGTGTAAACTTATTTTTATGTTGCTTTGATTCAGGTTATAGTAGTTACCAAAAAAAAAAAAAAAAACTTCATTGCTTTACGTGTGTGTTTATATACACAAACATACATACATTTACTATATCTATATATTCTTATAGCTATTGAAATTAGATTTCCACATATATGGAGAAACTGGCATTGGACTGTGATCCTGAGAATTGACTTCAAAGCTGAAGAAAATCAGGGCATGGGGAGTTTAGCAGAGGAATAGTAGGCTCAGAGCAGAGCTAAAATTAGTCAAGAGAAGTGCATGCCCTGAATATCTTAAGAGCTACCAACGAGGATTTCAGTTGTTGTTCTGAGCTTCCTAGTGGCAAAAGTAAATAAATGTTATCTGATAAAATTTCCCATTATTTATTAGATTAAAAGTACTCCACTGACTTAGGAAAAGCAAAGTGTTTCTGGCCCGGCTGTTTGATAAGTATTGCTTCCTGGGGCCCTTGGTTTGTGGTATTGTAAGAAATATAGTTAATGAAGTTCTCATCACCGTTTCAACAATAAATGTAATAGTAAGTTTCATATGGATACTTTCTAAGTGTCCCTCAGTGTGAGCCAAAGGCATAACACCACAGTATAGTTAAAGGAAAAGTTTTCTTTGGGGCCAAAGCAGTAGGAGCCAAGTTTGTCATCAAACATACCTCAGGAAATGTTGATTTAGATGAATGGATTGATCGTATGATATTAATGGCTGCCTGTATTTAAATATGTGTGTGTGTGTGTGTGTGTATGTGTGTGTGTGTGTGTGTGTGTGTTTAAGAATTTGGTGGTGTGAATGATATTATTTAATAAGACCTTAAATTACACATTCTCTCTGTTGCCTCCCTTAGCTTCATTTCCTTTAGCCATAAAACAGGAATAGTAACTGCGCACTGCATAGTTACAAGAGGTAAGATACAAAATATACAGACACAGTGCTTAGTGTTTTGTTCAAGGTACAGGTAGTGACTTAAGACCATTGAAGAGCATTACTGTGTATATAGCAAGAACCATTAAAGTTCATACTTTTTAGGTCACTGATCCCACTTTAAGGGTCTTATCTTCAGGATATACCTAAGAGAAGGAAAAAAGCTACTATGTACTTTTTTCTATTTGTTATCAGAGATAGGAATAGGAATAAATATTATATAATAACAAAAAGGAGAGCCAGTCTGATTTGAATGACCAATGGTAGGAGATGGTTTTAATACATTGTGAATCTCCATTTTTATGTAACTGTAAAATATTTAAAAACTTATAGACACTTGTGGAAACATTCCTACTGATTTATGTGGAGAAAATCTTTAAAAACCTTTATGCACCTTGTTTATGATTCCCCAAAGGCCACTTTGCATTTGGATACGGACGAGCTAGAAATATACAAAAATTAAAACAGTAATACTAAATTAGTGGGGGTGGTTTTTTCTCTCAAAAATGTTTGCATTCTTTTTAAATTGTTAAAATGCCTCAGTTTCTGGGAGCATGTTCATCACGGCTCTGGCTAACATGACAAACTCTTGAAAATTACAGGTACTGCTACTCTCAACCCATAAAATATAATTTCGTGTATGTGTGTGCATTTATGTTCTGATTTCCTCCACACCCCCAATAGATCCTCTCATTCACTCCGTTTGAGAGACCATTCATCTAGACCATCTAGAGTAATAAATCTTGAGAAATTGTAGTGTTTCTAATCAAATTTGAACCACTTCAGAGATTACCTGATCTGATTCCAGAGTAGTTATTGTGAGCTGTGGTAGGGAATTTCAACTAGAGCAGTCTTTCTCTGTATTTGTCTTGCGTATCAGTCTTCTGGGTAAGGAGAAGTCTTTCTTTACTCAGTCTTTCTTTCAGTGCCGTGGTTCTTTTTATTAAAACTAACTTGACAACTGATTTCTGTTCACCTCTCATATCTACTGAGAACTAGTCATCTATCCCATGCTTATGTATATTCAGTAACTGGAAGCTCATTACCAGAAGAATGAGTATATTTCATCCTTGTGTCGCTCTGTTAGAAAGTTTATCCTTTTTTCACCCTGAAATTTGTTCCTCTGTACCTTCTTCCACTCAGTGATTCTGCCTTGGAGTTACATAGAACCAACCCAATTTGTACACACACATGTACTTCAAATTTTAATAGTGGCTAACATCCCCTCCATACTAAGGAGAATTTTAAATCCTAACCTGTTCTGAAGTGTCAGGGTATTAGGTTTTCTACACAACTGTATACTATCTGCACATTTTCATCAACACATTAATTTTTCCCCTCTATCCAAGCAACTAATAAAGTCTACCAAACAGAACAAGGCAGAGCCTACTAGAGATTGTTTTGTTTTACTTTTGCCTTTTTTTAAATTACTAATAAAATAATTTAAATGGGACCGGTCAAAGCTTACTAAAGATTGATTATTCTTCTGATGGTCTCTGGGTGATTGGTTACCCCTCTTGTTTGCTTAGCGACAGACCAACCTTACAATATATATAGTCATGTTGTTAAAAACTTTGTGAAATATTTGGCTGTTGTCAAGAAAACTTTTAGACTTTTTTATCAAAGGGTGTAACAAAGATGAAAATAAAACTTTTTTTAAGACTTAGGGAAATTTCTAGTGCCTCAATATTTGTAAACTGTGAATTTCTGTAGTCCATACTAAAATTTGTTTCTTGCCAATATAGGTTCTGTGTTTAAAGGGAATTCCATGGGTAGATTACCCTCACCCTGCTTGGGCTGCGTTTTATCTATCAGGATTTTTGTTGTACCCTTTCCAGGTTGAAAACCATTCTGACAGAAAAGGGAATCATG